TCGGATCTAAAGAATGTAGATGTCGGACTATGCGAGGATTGCATCTTTGGAAAACAAAAGAAAGTAAGTTTTGCAAAGATTGGCAAGACACCCAAGGAAGAAAAGTTATAGTTGGTTCATACTGATGTATGGTAACCATCTCCAGTTCCATCTCTTGCACGCTCACTATATTATGTCATCTTCATCGATGATTCTACAAGGAATGGTGGGTTTATTTTCTAAAGAAGAAATAAGAAGTCTTTGATACATTCAAAAATGGAAGGCCATGGTGGAAAATGAAACTGGTTTGAAAATCAAGTGGTTGAGGTTTGACAATGGAGGAGAGTACATAAATCGTAGATTCAGAGATTTCTGCGTAAACAATGGGATCAAGATGGAGACAACAGTTCCCATGACACCGCAATAGAATAGTGTAGCAGAGCGTATGAACAGAACTCTGAATGAATGTGCCAGAAGCATGAGGATACATGCCGGATTACCCAAATTTCTATGGGCTGAAGCTATCAACACTGCAACTTACCTGATCAACCGTGGGCTCTCAGTTCCTTTGGATGACAGAATACCAGATGAAGTTTGGAGCAAGAAAGAAATAAACCTTTCACACTTAAGAGTGTTTGGTTGTATTTCTTATGTACACATAGATTTTGCTGAAAGAAGTAAACTTGATGTCAAGTCCAACAAATGTGTCTTTGTTGGTTATGGTGGTGATGAGTTCGGTTACCGATTTTGAGACTATGAAAATCGGAAGATCATCAAAAACAGAGATGTCATTTTCAATGAGAATGTGATGTACAAAGACAGGACAACCATAGAATCAAGTAGCTCCAATACCGAAGCTGAAACAAAGGAATTTGCTGAGTTCGAGGAGATTTCTGGAAATGATGTTCAAGTTAGTCCTGAAGTAGTTCAAGAAGAACTAGGCATACTAGAACTGAGACGTTCCTCCAGAATTCCTAAACCAACCCAGCGTTATTCACCTTCTTTGCACTACTTGTTGCTGACTGACAATGGTGAACCAGAGTGCGATGATGAAGTAATGCAGGTGGAGGATTCAGTCAAGTGGGAGTCTTCCATGAAAGTGGGAGTCTTTCATGAAAGATGAGATGGACTCACTTATGTCAAATCAGACGTGGGAATTAGCTGAATTACCACTAGGCAAGAAAGCGCTCCACAACAAGTGGATTTACAAGATCAAAGAAGAGCATGATAGGAGCAAACGCTACAAAGCAAGATTGGTTGTCAAAGGTTTTCAGCAAAAAGAAGGTATTGACTATAATGAAATTTTCTCTCAAGTCGTAAAACTGTATATAATCAGAATGGTGTTGAAAATTATAGTTGCAGAGAATTTACATCTTGAGCAGTTAGATGTAAAGACGACTTTCCTTCATGGTGATTTGGAGGAAGAAATCTATATGAGGCAACCAGAAGGCTTCATAGAGGCAGGCAAAAAACCTGGTATGCAGGTTGAAGAAAAGCTTGTATGGTTTAAAACAAGCTCCTAGAAAGTGGTACAAGAAGTTCGATAGTTTCATGGGTAGTAGTGGTTTTACCAGACGCCAAGCAGATCATTGTTACTACATCAAGAGGTTCGACAACAGCAACAACTTCATTATTTTATTATTATATGTTGATGACATGCTCGTTACAGGCTCAGACATGTAACAGATTATACACTTGAAGCAAAAATTGTCGAAGCAGTTTGCTATAAAGAATCTGGGCACTACAAAGCAGATTCTTGGGATGAGGATTAAGAGAGACACAAAGTCGGGGACTTTGATGTTATCACAGGCTGAGTACATCAACAAAGTACTCTCCAAGTTCAACATGCAAGATGCTAAACCAGTAAGTACACCTTTAGGTGTTCATTTTAGACTCTCCAAAGAACAGTCGCCAAAGACGGAGGAAGAACGTGCACACATGGTGAAGGTGCCGTATGCCTCAGCAATTGGAAGTCTGATGTATGCCATCGTTTGTACCAGACCAGATATTGCTCAGGCAGTGGGAGCTGTTAGCAGGTACATGAATAATCCGGGCAAGGTACACTGGGAAACAGTCAAATGGATCCTCATATATATGTGAGGTACCACAAACAAAACACTTTGTTTCAAAGGTGAAGATACGATACTGACAGGCTATGTAGATGCTGACTTAGTCGGAAATGTCGACATCAGAAGAAGCACTACAGGGTATGTCTATACTCTAGGAGGAATTGCAGTGAGTTGGGTTTCTCAACTACAGAAGATAGTTGCTCTCTCCATAACTGAAGCATAATATGTCGCTGTTACGGAAGCCAACAATGAGATGGTCTGGCTCCAAAGTTTCTTGGAAGAGTTAGGCAAGAAACACGAAAACAATGTCTTGTATTGCGATAGTCAAAGTGCTATCCATCTAGCAAAGAATCTGTCTTTTCATTCCAGGACGAAGCACATACAATTGAGATATCATTTTATCCGGTCTCTTCTGGAAGATGGGATTTTGAAACTTGAAAAGACCAGTGGAGCTCAAAATCCGGCTGACATGTTGACAAAGACGGTGACTACAGACAAACTGAAGTTGTGTTCAGCTTCAGTTGTGTTCAGCTTCAGTTGGCATGCTAGAAAACAAGACTAGAAATGTTGCTGCATCGATCGAGGTGTGAAGACAGATTAAAATCAGTCTTCAAGTGAGAGATTGTTGAAATTTCTTCAAGCAACTGGCAGCTGCAAAAACAAGTGGGGAGGGCTGCTAATTTTTATTATTATTTTGTAATAGAGATAATTATAAAATTGAGTCATTGAACTTTAGGGTATTTACAAGATTAGCCCTTAAGCTTCAATTATAAATACCCTAGCTCATTTAGCTTCAAAATCATCCCAAAATCCTAAATCATTTCTTTCTCCAATACTAGAGAGTTTTCTTGTGAGTAGTGAGTGTTTTGTAAACACCTGTAATTTTTTTCTATAGTAAAAGATATGTAGCAGTCCGGATATGTAGGCATAATTGACTAAACTCCGTTATCAATTTCGGGTATTATTTTTCCGCTTTTATTTCGCATTCTCACTAATCTGGTTATAGGGAAATTACTTGTTTTCGTTTATTTCCCAACATATATATCTTAATTATGTGTTTAGTTTATTATTCTAATAAAAATCATTATTGAAATTTTGTATATTTTTTCTTAATAGTATTAGCTTATTATTGTTTTTGAAAAAAAAAATATTGAAATATAAATAGCTGTTACTTTATTTTGGTTAAATATAGGGGGAGTATTTGATATATTAAAGGTAAGTGAATTAAATGATGAAATATCACTAGAAATAAATTTAATGAATCTAATTTAAATTTTATTATATTGTGTCATTATCTAATTCAATACTGTCATAGACAAAACCAAAAAATTAAGGGACAAAGTTGAATTAAATTTTTTAAGACACAGAATACAATTTTATATTGTATTTTTTTATCATTTTAGGTAAAATGTAATTTTATCATTGTCCTAAATTAAAATATTCTGATTTTTAAATAACTACTAATAAGCAATTGGCTTAAGGATGTAAAAGGTCTATGACCTTTTAAAATAAAATCAATTAAGCCGCAAAAAAAAAAAAAACTATTTCCATCCGATTAAAGCTTTTAAATTAAAAAAAATTATGTGATTCTTTAACTAACGAAAAATATTGTTGACTGTTATAATATTAATGAGGCAATTCATAATGTTAATAAGATGAACCACATATACTAACATGATAATCTATTTATGAATAGTGACGTGACAAATAGACATATGTCATTATCTAATTGGTGAATTGAAAATTTTAAGTAAAATTAAAATGAAGATCAAATTATTAAAATGTATAAATAATAAGGATTAAATATATAATTATATAAATTTACCTCAAATAAGATGGTGATAAGTGTTGTCATCTTATTGACGAAATAAATTTATTAAATTAAAATTAAGATGAAATTAACATAATGTGTAAGTTTAAGATTAAATAAATAATTATATAAATTTGTCTTGTGTCACATAAGTATTTCCATTAACTACTGAGGGTAAGTAGTTTGATTAAAACTATTTCAATAATTTAAGGACCAAATTGAAAATATTTATAGTTTAATGATCATAATAGAATTATCCTTATAATTTAACGACTATAGATATAGTTTACCTCAAGAAACTTTTAAAAGCTATAAGCCCACTTGTACAAAGCTACAATTCAGACTATGCTTCCTCGTTATACAGAGTAAACAGAGAGGGGTACAGCGTGCAGACACTGCTATCTTTTTGTCTTTATTATTTGGTTTTAATATCTTCTCTCTCTTGTTTCCGACTAATGTTTATCTACGTCTTCAAACCCTTTGATCCTCCTTCGGGAACCACGTAATCAAATCCAACGGTTCAGGATAAATGATGCCGACTCATAACGCCAAACAAGTCATTTTCTTCAAATTAATTTTAATTTTAATTTCAAATTTAAAATTCTTTTCATATAAAAAATTAATTTTAAAAAAGTAGAAAATTTGTAACTCACAATCATTTATAAACTATTTATATTTGGATATATCAAATGGTTTTAAAAATTCATCATAAATTTCATTAAACTATTAGAATAAATTACGCATTTAATCATTTATGTGTTTTTTAATTTTATTTTAGTCATCTAACTATTTTTTTTAATTAATAAAAAGTTATTTATTTTTTAAATCATACTTAACTATTATGTATTGGTTACCCGACGCTAAAAAAATAAACAAAACTCTTGATATAATATTTTTTTATTTTTTAAAAATGATATGATACATCAATATTATCATTAATATTTAACCGTGGACGATCGAAATATAATTAAAACGTTATATTATCTATGATTTTGAAAAAATAATTGGATGACCGAACCTAAACTATAAAATTAAATGACTGACTAAATATATAGTTTTCCCAAAATATTATTGCTTGCTTTTTTAGTTTTAAAACTCATTTTGACCGGAACTCTCTCTTCTTCGCTTTATATAACTCTTTCCATCTTCCCCACTCGTATCATCCTTTCGCTTCGCACTTTCTCTACGTTTCTGCAACATACGTTCTTTGTTTCCTCTAACTTTCTCAATGGCCGACCAGACGCCGTTAAAGCGCCAAAGAGAAGAAACCCATATTCCAGATGAAGAAACCAAACGCCATAAGTCATACAATCACATACTCTCTTTGCTTGAAGCCGAAGAAGACGACCCAAACCATGATTTGTCTTCTCTCATCACTGCTTTACAACACGAGCTCTATTCCGATAACTCCCTTCCTTTCCCAACACCTAATACCTTAGACGCCGACCGACAAAATCCCAGGGCTACGACCACGACAGAGGCGACCAAGCCCATCACCGACACCACAGAAGATATGTCCCTGAAAGAAGACGGGGAAAACCAGGACGATAAAGAGCAAGTCATACGGCATTTGCTTGAAGCTTCCGATGACGAGCTTGGGATTCCGAATAGAGAAGATATTTTCGAGTTTGAACAAGGATTTGAAAATGGTGGAAACGGGCCTGCTTTGTGTGATAGGTTATGGGAGCTTGAGGACGAGGCTGCTAATTTCTATACCTTGTTGCAGTCTGAACTTTTCCTGTAGGAAGCAGAAAGAAATGGTAGAGATGAAAATTAAAGAAAAGAAAAAGTGGGGGGATCGTGGGATAAAATTTAGAAAAATGAAGGTTTTTTTTTAGGTTATTTCATTTTAGAATTCCCACCTCGAAAATATCGCAACTTTCACTCTGTTTCTTTGTTGTTTAGGAAATTTGGTTGTAGACAAAAGGAAGTGATAGATATCTTTGTTGGTCACGAATTTCCTAATCACTGTATTCAACATGGACATAAGGACTCAAGCAAGAACCCCACGGATTCATGACTATGGACTTTAACATATGAATTTGAATATGCTTTGAAAAATAATGAGAAAATCAGCAAACTTAAACTCTACGACATTAAGCAATTACTCATTTTAATTTTTATATGAGTAAAGTATAAAATTGCGCTTGATTATTAAAATTTAAAAATAATTAATTGATTATAAGACATTGTTCTCTTAAATTTTTTTATTATTAAAAATCATAAAATTATTATTTGACTATTTGTATATTTTAAATTTATTATATTTCATTAAAAAATAGACGAATATCTGAATTGACCGTTAATTTGTTAATTGAAATATAATAAAATTTAATATTAAAATCTCAAGCAAATATATAATTCAAATAATGTTTTGATCAGATTTTATCATATTTCAATAAACATGTTAATATTCATCTCAAAAGACCATTAAAATTTTAATAAAAAATAAATAAACTTGAAACATATAATAATCGGATGACAATTTTATGGATATAAAATTTAACAAAATAACGTCTTATAATCAATTACCTCGTATCTTTATTGACATAAACTATAGACAAACTAAAAGAACTTGAAAAATTAAGAAAAAAAATTAGAGACATGTCACCATAGCAGAGGAAAGATATAATATAGTAGAGAAAACATTTTTTTAACACTTTATAGTTACTTATATAAGGTTAAAAAGTAAACGTGTGGATAACAAATCATTTCTTTTTCTTGACATCTTTTATACAATTAAGAGAGGTTACACTCTTTTGCCTTTCTTTATTAATTTTAGCTATTCAAACAAGTTATATATGCATTATTTTCTTTCTTTAATTTGTCTCTCGTTTTTTTTATTTTTCTTTATTATTATTATTTTTAACAATTTATAATGATTATAAAATAATATTTATTTAAAATTTTTATTATTATTAATAACGTACACACACCACTAGATATAATTACTTAAGTCCATGATATGAATGGAGAACAACAATATTTTTAATCACTGAAATCATTTAATAATTTTTTTTCTTATTTATTAGCATAGAGTTATATACTGTTTAAATTTAAATCTTGACATCATTAATAAAGTAAATTGTATTAGGGGAAATCCTTTATTGATAAATAAAAAAAATATTGTTTTTAAGATTATAAAAATTAAGTAAATTATTTTTTGTATATTTATAAATTTTTATAAGTCCAGGGTAAATGCAAAGTAGCATCGATTTAAAGATTTTAAACTATTTGATAATAAGCGCTCATACATTTGTATATATAGGGATGGGCATGATATCCAATCCCAGTCCGATCAAGTTGGACATTTTTTTAGAAAATCGAGTTTGGGTTGGTTCGGGTCGGTTCGAGTCGGTTTTCTAGAGTTTATGTTTGGGTCTAGTAGTCATCGGGTTTAAGGTGAAAAATACTTAATCCGACCCAAAAAAATTATAATTTTACCTTATGCATTTAGGGATAATTAAAATAATACCCTCTATATATTATTATTTTTAATTAAATATCTATTTTTATTGAATAGAAGTAATATTTTTTAATAAATATATTATTTTGAGTCAGGTTAGGTTGAGTTCGGATTTTATATCATAAAGGTGGGTCGAAGTTCGGCTCGGGTGGAGGTATATATTTTTTTGGTCGAATTCGAGTCGAATTCAAGTTGGGTGGAGTATGTATAATTTTTGGGTTTGTTTAGATGGATCGAAAGCCTGAACCATGCTCATCCCTACATACGTGTTTCTAAATATGTGACCTTTGAAGATAATAACTAATCTCTTAATTATTGAGATTGTTTGATTCATGTTAATATCTATAAAATTAAATTATTAATTAATATACTATTTTCATTTTTTCAATTAAATTGGTGCAAAACGTAAAATTTAATATTAAATATTATAATAATATAAATATAAATGGAAGGAGAATAATAACAAAATTTGAAATTTAAATTATGAACTGAAAACCTAGTGTAATCCTAACTCAACTGTAGTGGAGTTATAAAGTAACTGTAGTTGATGGGTGATGATAAGAAATAGCGGGGGGCTTATGCGTGAAGATACAGCGGGTAGGGCTAGGCAACTTTAGGAACATGATGGGACCACTTGATGTCGCTTTTTGGACAGTGAGGATAGGGTCACACCTTTAATGTGAGATGCATATAGTTTTCTTTGCCTTCGCATTTCATGGATCAAATCATAAATAATGATGATTGTGATGGATTTGCATTTTGAGGAAATGGGAATGTGGAAATGCCTCTGCCCCATGGTTGGTAATTGATGGGTACATGTGCGGTGTATGATGATGGATTGATAGGTGATCATGATACTTAGTTTAGTCCTTAAACATGTTATTTAATCCAAAATTGACACCTATTGTAATAACCCAAATTTTGGTTAGTGACCAAAATGTAAAATTTAAAAGTTTAGTAGCCAAAGTAGAAAGTTGGAAAATTTTAAGGACCAAAAGGGTAATTTTTAAAATATAGTTATTTTGACCTTGTAAATGAATAGTTCAACCTCAAGAATGACGTTTTTGTGAGAATCAGAATTTTGATCCGAAATTTGTGTTAAATGCTATAAAGCATTAAAGTATGAAAGAAAATAGGATAATAAGATCGAACCAAAATTTTACAAAAATTTGAAGGATGAAGGATAAAAGTTGGAAATATTATTTCCTAATTTTAGAATAGTTAAATTTAATGTGGATTAGTAGAATTGAAGTCAATTTTACATATTTAGCTGAAACTGGAAAATTTAGTGACTAAACTGCAATTTTTGAAAATTTGCAAGGGCAAAGGTGGAAAGTGGATTTTTATTTTTTCATCTTTGACTTTGAAATATTAAAATGGAAGATATTCCAATAGCAAGTTGAAATTATCATATTTTATTAAGGGTAAAATGATAATTTCACATTAATAGAATTTTAAATTCATTTATATTAGATTAAGCCAAGTGTATTATGGTTTAATTGAATAAAAAATCAGAAAATTTCAGCTTCTTCTAGCCCCAAACGTGAACCACCATGGCTACTAAGGTAAGAATTTTCAAGTTCATTTTTAAGCTTATTCGATTGATTTTTAGATTAAACTATTAGATAGATAATTAATCCCCTTGAAATTCTCTATCATTTGGTATAAATATTACGTGGAGATCATGCTTATATGAAGAATTTGGAAATTAGGGCTTATGTAGGACTTGTTGATTTTGAGGATTTGATGAAAGCTTTTTATGTTTTTGATGTTGGAGATTAATTCTAAAGCTTGTATGATGATTAAAACTACTTGAAATTGGGTGAAATTCCATTTGGCCATGACCTAGGGTTTTGAGAAAATTGTGATTTTGTTAAATTATGTTAGGGCTTTGATAGTAGAAGCCTTGAAATGTTGTTTAGAAGTGGAATCCATGCTTGAATCAAGTGAAAATCAAGAGCCATAACCACTATGATATTCAACCATGAGGAATTAGTTGGGGATTTTTTTGTTGAAAAATTTACCTAGGATTAGAAATGATGTTTTAAAGGTTCTACATGCTTTAGAAAGATAATTAGGCCATTTTGTAATTTTATGAAAATTGGGGGACCTATTCAATAATTATGGAAAATTATGGGGTTTATTTGAAAATATTAGAAAGATGATGTACTATGCTGGAATTGAAAGTTAGAATAATTGAATTTGATGTTAGAATGTGAAATTTGACTATTTGGGAAAGTTGGCAAAGTTTGAGTACTAAATATAAAATATTGAGAAAGTTAGTGACTTAAATGGTAATAGTGGAGTTGTTAAGGTATTGGGCTGAAAATTAGATGATGGAAATTTAATCAAGTTGTTTGAAACTTGAATTGAAGCTAAAAGGCAAAGGACTATTTGGAATAAAATGGAAAATTGATATGAATTCTAAAAGAATTCATAAATGGTAGTTAAAATGGAAAATTGAAGAATGTTATGTGAAGTTTGGGTGATTTTGGATAAAAAGGGATTTATTGGTCAATTTGAAGTATTAAGGTCAACATTGATGATGTGATATGAAATTCGTAAAGAATGAGCATCGAAAGGTTTTTAGGAATTTATTTTCTATTGTGTGCCTATAATGTTATGTGAAGTTTGGGTGATTTTGGATAAAAAGGGATTTATTGGTCCATTTGAAGTATTAAGGTCACATTGATGATGTGATATGAAATTCGTAAAGAATGAGCATCGAAAGGTTTTTAGATTTATTTTCTATTGTGTGCCTATTAGTAATTCTAACATATGGTTTGAAATGTATTTTTTGTAAATGGTGTTCATTTAGATTGTGATTTAAATCAAGATCAAGCAATTTTAAAGCTAAGGAGAAACTTAAGAACGTAATATGAGGTGCTAGTAAGGTTTACAAGCTAAGGACACCAGGTGAGTACAAATTTAATTTGTATTTATGTTATCGAGCAAACATTGGATTTTGATGAGCCAGTGATAGAGTTGATATGGTAAGAAGTGACTTCAAATGTTGTGTGACTTTTTGATTTATGTATATATATGCATTTGGTAAGCTAACAGAATCAGTGAACAAGCAGAAAATGCAAATCGGTGAAATCTGCATAGATTTGTGATCGGAACAGTAAGTTTAGAAAATCATCATAAATTCTAAGGAAATGATTAGAGGATGATTTTTGTACCTTGGATTTTTATATGAGACTAGTTTTTTCTAAAATAAACGGCTACTGATTTCAAAGAGTATATAAAAAGATATGAATTTTAAATCGAGGATAGGTAAG